ACATACATACATACATACATTACATACATACATACATACATACATACAAACATACAAACATACAAACATACAAACATACAAACATACATACATACATACATACATACATTACAAACATACATACATTACAAACATACTATATTACATTAGATTAGATTACATTACATTACATTTCATTACATTACATACATACATTACAAACATTACATTGCATTACATAAACTAACATTACATTACATTACATTACATTACCTTACCTTACATTACATTCCATACATACATTACATTACATTACACTACACTACACTACATTACATTACATTACATGACATTACATACATTACATGCATGCAGAACATTACATTACATAACTTAACAAGCCATTACATTACATTACATTACATTACATACGCGTTACATACATTACATTACATTACAATACTTTACTTTACATTACATACATTCATACTTACATACTTACATACCTACTTACAAACATGCAGGAGTTACATAACATTACATTGCACTACATTACACTACATTACATACATTACATTACATACATTACATTACATTACATTACATTACATTACATTACATTACATTACATTACATACATACATACTGTACATACATTACATTTAATACATACATATGTACATACTTACTTACATACATGCATACATTACATTCCATTACATTCCACTACATTCCACTACATTCCACTACATTCCACTACACTACATTACATTACATTACATTGCATTCATACAAACAAACAAACAAACAAACATACATACATACATCACATACACACATACACACATACACACATACATACATACATACAAACATACAAACATACATACATACATACATACATACATACATACATTATACATACATTACATTCCTACATACATACACACATACATACATACATACATACATACATAATCATACATACATACATCCATTCATACATGAGTAGATACTTTTTTTGTCGCTGCCGGATGCCGGTGCCGGATGCCGGATGCCGGATGCCGGATGCCGGTGCCGGATGCCGGATGCCGGATGCGGGAGGCCGGATGCCGGATGCCGGTGCCGGATGCCGGTGCCGGATGCCGGATGCCGGATGCCGGTGCCGGATGCCGGTGCCGGATGCCGGTGCCGGATGCCGGATGCGGGAGGCCGGATGCCGGATGCCGGTGCCGGATGCCGGTGCCGGATGCCGGATGCCGGGTGCCGGTGCCAGTGCCGGTGCCGGATGCCGGATGCCGGATGCCGGGTGCCGGATGCCGGTTGCCGGATGCCGGTGCCGGATGCCGGATGCCGGTGCCGGTGCCGGATGCCGGGTGCCGGATGCCGGTTGCCGGATGCCGGATGCCGCATGCCGGATGCCGGTGCCGGAGGCCGGCTGCCGCATGCCGGGTGCCGGGTGCCGGATGCCGGGTGCCGGATGCCGTGTGCCGGTGGCCGGTTGCTGGTTGCGCCACTTGGCCGGTGTTGGTTCCCGGTGCCAGTTGCTGGTGCCGGTTGCCGTTGCCGGTTTACTTTCCTCCATCAAGCTCACTCACAGGAAAGCAACGGCCAACATACAAAACAAACGTGAAATCAAGACAAAACCATCGGGCTAGAAATACTAAAGCAACCTTAGATAAAGACCAAAAAAGAAACAGGAGAAAAAGCTACAGCAATGCATCCCGCAACACGCGTCAAAGGTCTGAAAAAAGACAAAAGCCGATTGATACGTATGGCCTCCTTGGCAGGCACTGTATAATCTTCAATGAACTGAAGATGTCAGGTTTCACTATTGTAAGTTTTTGCTTGGTTTGATATTGCAAAAAGCGCAAAAGGCAAAGCAAGATACGAGGCAAGGAAAACCAACAGATCCAGATTTAGAATCAGTTTGCCCGATTTTACGGTGTCCTTTTGAGGCAATCGGGAGTGATTCGTTACTACATTGGGTTGCAAGAAGGGAATCGGCTGGCGTGTCTTTCTGTGTGACGAGTATAAGTTTGATCCACCCCCGGGGCAATCACAGTGAGCACAAGCCACGGGCACAAAATGAACACTAGCCAAATGCAGAAAATAAGGGTCTAATCTGGTGATATGATACGGATAAGATCTCATACCAAATCAAAAAACGGATCAGGAAGAGACCATTAATATTCAAATCATCAAATGGCTGAACAAATGTTTCGTGTGAATCGGTAGGATTCAAGCTGCACAGGTGTCTGTTTCTCTCTTCCCGGCTCTGGCTGCTACAGATTTGCTAGGAACCATGGCCAACTTATCACCCACATTCGGTTGGAAACCTTAGCAAATCTGAGCCGCTACGACAACCTTAGCAATGACAACTAGCAACAACCACCCCACCACCAGCGACAGCACCACCACGACCACCACCGAAGCGACCCGTTCTGGCAGCCGAAGCTTCATCCAGGGCGCGTGCAGGCACAGAAGGAGGCTGCTCTGCATGAGCAGTCGGACATGAATGGAAGGAACAAAGGGCACGTTGGGCGGCAGAATGCTGATTGAGACCAGTGGGACAGTAGCGAGGGAATAAAAACTGACACTTAGACTCTGACAGTCGAAGTGTAGAACACACATACATTAGTAAACACACAGTGTCTAATAAGACATGCTGACACAGATGCATACATGCGCAGACGTGAGTCAGCAACTGAGCAACTCTTTTTCTCGCGCCACAGCGTCCACATGTCCATTTGGCGACTGTTCCGTCGGAAGGAGGCGCACCACACGTGACAGAAGAGCAAGATACCAACACGAGGCTGCATCATGTCAATGCTGCAAAATTGCCAGCCCCATTCCAGCGGCACCGCCAGGTGATGCAGTAAGCGGCGCAGGATGACGCACCTTGGGAACAACAAAGACAAGTCATGCGGTTCCGAGGCATTCCTGCCCTTCATACCAGGCAACCAATCATGATATAGCACCTAGGAAGAAAAGGTTTGCGAAAGATAGCAGGCGCTGACCACAGTGAAGGAAGCGAACAAGAGACGCAAATGACACTGCTGCACGTCAGCCCAAAAAAAGGCCAGCCTGATTCAAGCGTAGCCTTCAGGCGGTGTAGACGGTGCAGGAAGATGTGCCTCATCAAGAAGTGGGAAGCGGGACTTGGCCCTGGCATCAGAACAGCAAGAACCTAACTAGGCGCAAACATCGGCAAGACATTCCTGCCCTGCACCTCCAGAAAACCAGACAGAGATAGAACACAGACAACAATGATTGTAGCTGGTACCTACGGAAGAACGGCTGCCAAGATTGCAGCCAAGCCACGGCTTCGGCGAACTCAGCCCGATGTGCCTCGGCAGGAAGGCGGGAATTGCGCAAGAACACAAAAGAATGCCTGAAGATAAAACAGCGGCAAGACAATGCTGCCGTGCAGGCGCCGCAGCACAGCAAACACGTGAAAAACGACTTAGATATACTGTGCACAATGGAGCAGACGGGGCTGAAGCCAAGCGACTGCATCAGCCTGCTGCACTTGAGGGGCTCCGGCCTGGTATACGGTGAGGAGACAAAAAACCGCAGTCAGAAGCGACATCGGCAAGACATCCCTGCCCTGCATGTATTCCCTATCAAGCAAACATACATGTATTTGCCATACTGAAGAAAGAAGACAGCTGCTTCATGTGCAGAACAAACATGATACGCGGCGAAGAGCAACTGCCAAGATTGCATCCAAGTTGCTGCGCCATCTGGCGGCTCTGTCTGCTCGGCCCCGGCCTGCACGGACCCGTAGATCCACGTTCAGAAACAGTTTCACGGAGCAACAGATCCCGCCCCTCCTAGCATTGCACCCCGCCTGTTGGTGCTGGTGATTTCGTACGCTTGGATGGAACTGCTCCGATCCCGACTCCTGGCCGTCAGCAACGGCATAGGCGTCAGTCTGTACTATGCTGACTGTGTTCATACAACCAGGTTTGCGTGTCTGCATTGCCCAGCCCAACAAGTCCTTTTTGTCTGCAGGAATGTGTGGCAAAATTGTTGGAGACGATGAAGCAGCTTGGAAATCCTGGGAAGGAGCAGGGGGAGAAAAGAACATGGCCAGAAACGCAGAAATGGGTAGGTGCATTCAACCCGCAAGATGTCCTAAGTTGAGTTGTCAACGATTGCCCTAAGAAGCAAGAAGAATTAAACTCAGTAGAAACATTAACTGGTCTGTGCAAAAAATTAAAGTCTGGGATACACCTGAAAGAATATCAGACGAGACAGCAAAGAACCCCCTAGGCCTAGTATAGACTGCGACGATGTTGTGTGCTTAGTCAGGCCACGCCTGCGAATCTCTGCGCCACACGTCCCAGCACCCTTCGCAATAGTCGCTATAAAGGGGTCCGCACGCAGACTGCGGCAAGCGGCAGGACCGGCAGGGTGCCTCGGAATTGTCAAACGGGGTTGTGAAGCATTTCAACTTTCAACCAGAAGAAGCTAAGAATATGTCGCAAAATGAGGCACAAGTCCATAGTTTACTTTCTGAAGGACGCCTGGGCAGAGCAGCTGGCAGACTTCCGCCTTTTGGACGGGCAGCTCAGTTTACCCCGGACATTGCGGCGCCAAATTGCTGTCATCCGCGCATTTGCGTGAAGGCACCGATGGACCTGATGAGTGAGACAAAGAAAAGGTGGAAGGTGCGAAAGACGTGAGACTGAATGCTTGTTGGGTATAGGGATGGTGACGGTTGCGTTGCCGCTGAAGTATCTAATGACGGGGATGTGTTCTGGAAGAGACCGGTTTGTCTTCAGTGGCCCCTGCCTTTGCCACATCATCATCATCGCCAGAGTCTGCAGGCGAGGTGGGTGTCGGTGGCAAAGTCTGACCCTGGTCCTTCCGGCGCGGTCGCCGCTTAGCATTCGCCCCACGCCCCATGCGCGCAGCTGCTTGGAAAAATTGGGCCAGCTGCGCTTGACGCGTGAACTCTGGGCGTTAACTGCTGACTTGAATCTTGCACTTGCACATTCATGCCACGCTTTAATATTGGATGAATTCATGACGCGCACCGTGCGCACAGGAAGAAGGGCGAACATTGTAGAAATGTAGCTGCAGGACATGAAGGTACTGATCTATTAATTACTTCCTTTTGCCATGGCTCAGAAATCATCCTGCACACCGCATGAGAAAGGTTTTGTTTTGTTGGGCGTCATTTTACAAATGAGACTCAGGCAGCCTTTGGACATTCTAGTGCTCGAAAAAAATATTTGCGTAGGTGTGAAATGGGCGAAATGATGTTTATGCATGAGCTCATCTTATGTGCGCTTGCGTGAAGTTGGGCCGGCGCAAGGACGTCTGATGTCCATGAAAATGCGTCCTTACTAGGAAGGCAGCTCTCAGACATGGACGGGGCACCAGGCCCGTAAAGCAAGCTAGGACCAGTCAGAGCTACGCTTGCGATACTGGATCCATCTGTTGTGTTGTAGAAGGGGAGAAAGATAGTTGGCAACCGACGGGCATTCAAGAAAACAATGTGCCTATATGACCAAGCGCATGATCCAAGAAAGATAGCGCAAGCAAAGGGAGACGTGACTTCAAGGACGAGCCAAAAAGAAGGAGCCCTTCGTCACAAGGTGAACTACCCTGTTGTTGCTAATAACAAGAAGCACCAGACAAAATGATCGAATGGAAACTGGTCGCATGTGTGTGACTACGAAATCCAACTGGGCAGTTGCTTATATACATATATACAGATACAGGCTTAAAACTACTCAGGAAAGAAGAAAAATGTCCAAACCAAAATGCAATCGAATATGACAGATTCCGGACCTGCTTCTTGACAGTGAAGGGCAAAGCAGCTTGTGATGCAAGGGAAAGGGAAGCTAGATAGTGTAGCCAGACAGTTCAGCCAAGTTCGGGGTTTGGCGTGGAACATGGAGAGCTAAAAGATTCAAAATCCGGAAACGTTGGATTCTTGCATCCTGCTGCTGATGGAAAAAATTGCACGAAGAAATCCATTTTCTTAGGGAATGGAGCTAAATAGTAAACAAGTTTTTGATTGTTGGGGTGGTGCATTGTGTGCGCAAGACATTCCTGCCCTGCGCCTGTGACACGAAACACCATCAAAGCAACGATGAAACGGAGTCACTCAGTCAGGCAGAAACTGAAGCGAATCCTGCCAGTGCCAGGCCAATCAGCGCGTCACACCTGGCCACAGCAAGCGACTACAGAAGCATTCAAAAGAAAGACAAAAGAGTATGTCTGCGCGTGACATTTGCAGTTCAGACAGCGGGCCTGCTGCCAGCAGCCAAGGGCAGCCCCGGCGCGACGGTTCGCCAAGAGGCGCAGCGCCTGCGCAGGAAATCATCAGGCGAAGGTCTGTGACGTGGCATCGCAGAAGAAAGTGTTGCAGAAGAAAGTGTTGTTAATTGTGACTGCTGCTCCAGCAGCGCAGTAGCCATCCATACAGTACCGTGACGCAAGTAGGACACGCAGTTTTTACATCATGCGCTGCTGCACTCATGCTATTGCAAAATCTGGAAGGCTGGCAAGTGGCGGCAGAATTGTCGGTTGCCAAGAAAGGCTGAAAAGCAGACGGTCCCGCCCCAAGACAAAATCATGAGGCGACAAGCAAACAGACTGCCAACTCAAAGACAAGCCTTGCACTTGCATGTTCCACTGAAATGCAACCTGCAGTAGCAGGTCTTGGACTGTAGTTGTAATGTCCACGAAAAAGTATTCCTGCATCGTTCGGAACAGTACGAGGCAAGGCATCTTCACCACGCCAAACTGCAAGAGGAAGTTGTCTCGGTGTGGTAGAGCATCGGCAAAGGCCAAAGGAGAGCCATTGAGCAGCAAGAGGCGCAGCATGCGCGGCTGAGCATGCGGTAAGAAGCAACGAATGAGGCCGCCAACCGTGCCTGGGTGCGGATGCCGAAGTAAGCGAACCCAGATGTGATCCAAGGAAGATGCAGCTGTCGCCAGAGCGGTTTCCGGATGATTTGGGGGTGATTGCGCAAAGATGAACTGCGTAAGCCAAAGCCCCAGCAAAAAGATACTTGGGTTTTCACAGCCAGTTCGATGCAATGGCTCGACAGAGGACTGAGAGTCCAGCAGCGTTGCTCGGTCAAAGCGACTTGTTCTGGCAGCCGAAGCTTCATCCAGGTCGCGTCCAGGCACAGAAGGAGGCTGCTCTGAGCAGTCGGACATGAATGGGAACAAAGGACACGTTGGGCGGGAGAATGCTGACTGAGCAAAAAACCTGCAGCGGAGATACGTCATGACACAAAAACCTGCTGAACATGTATACAGCTAGCGGTTCCCGCCCAAGAATGAGTATACAAGTTCTGCAGCTGCGCCTTGGGTAACCAGAAGCTATAGTGCCTGTGTGAACCTTGGGCTATGCTGAGCCAAGCACTCCGTTGAAAAGCAGCATCAAAAGTACTGAAAGAAAAATGCTTGAAGCAGGATTCAGAGGGGCACTGAAGGGAAGGATTTTGCGCCAGGTCACCTGCAAGACCGTGAAACCGTCCAACTGATTTGTGGAAAAACACAGGCATGCGTTCCATGCAACAGTTGTCATCAAAGGAAACACCCTCAAGACACAGGCAAATGTGGGCCGGTTAACACAACTGTGAGTCTTTGGTCATGTTGCTTTCGCATGATGTGGAGTTCAGTAGGAACAGCACACTGCTGCACGCATGCCTCGGAGAATCTAAAGCGCCTTGGAACAAAAGAACACATGCATTGAAAGACATACGGACCTAGGTTGGGCCAGGCTTTGTTGCCTTGCTCCGAGGCCCACATGGTGCTGCGCAGGCTGGTGTCAGAAAACTTCACCATTGCGCACAAGACATTCCTGCCTTGCGGCTGCTGTTTTGTGCATTTGGAAAGACATCTGCGACTGGGGAAAGCACTGCTAGAGGGTATGCTGCTCATCACCTCACCTCGGCAAACAAGTTTGCAGGAAACACAGATTGAGACCAGTGGGGCAGTAGCGTGGAAATAAAGACTGACGCTTAGACTGTGTTGCGGCGAGGTGCAGAACACATATACATTAAATAGTAAACACACAGTGTCTAATAAGACATGCTGACACGGATGCATACATGCGCAGACATGAGACAGCAACTGAGATTTTTTTTCCTCGCCACAGCGTCCACGTGTCCATGTGGCCAATGTTCCGTCCGAATGAGGCGCAGCACACGCGACAGAAGAGCAAGGTACCAGGACGAGGCTGCGTCATGTCAATGCTGCAAAATTGCCAGCCTCTTTCCAGCGGCACCGCCAGGTGGTGCAGTAAGCGGCGCAGGATGATGCGCCTGATCAGAAAGTGGGAACAACAAAGACCAGTCATCCGGTTCCGAGACATTCCTGCCCTAGCTTCATACTAGGCAGCCAATCATGATATAGCACCAGGGAAGAAAAGATTTGCAAAACATAGCAGGCGCTGACCACAGTGAAGGAAGCGAACAAGAGACGCAAATGGCGCTGCTGCATGTCAGCCCAGGAAATTGCCAGCCTGATTCAAGCGTGGCCTTCAGGCGGTGTAGACGGTGCATGAAGATGTGCCTCATCAAGAAGTGGGAAGCGGGACTTGGCATCAGAACAGCAAGAACCTAACTAGGCGCAAACATCGGCAAGACATTCCTGCCCTGCACCTCCAGAAAACCAGACAGAGATAGAACACAGACAACAATGATTGTAGCTGGTACCTACGGAAGAACGGCTGCCAAGATTGCAGCCAAGCCACGGCTTCGGCGAACTCAGCCCGATGTGCCTCGGCAGGAAGGCGGGAATTGCGCAAGAACACAAAAGAATGCCTGAAGATAAAACAGCGGCAAGACAATGCTGCCGTGCAGGCGCCGCAGCACAGAAAACACGTGAAAAACGACTTAGATATACTGTGCACAATGGAGCAGACGGGGCTGAAGCCAAGCGACTGCATCAGCCTGCTGCACTTGAGGGGCTCCGGCCTGGTAGACGGTGAGGAGACAAAAAACCGCAGTCAGAAGCGACATCGGCAAGACATCCCTGCCCGGCATGTAGGCAAACAGACATGTATTTGCCATACTGAAGAAAGAAGACAGCTGCTTCATGTGCGAAGAGCAGCTGCCAAGATTGCATCCAAGTTGCTGCGACATCTGGCGGCTCTGTCTGCTCGGCCCCGGCCTGCGCGGACCCGCGGCAGCGGGCCGCAGCCCCGTCCATATAAACCAGCCGTGCTCGGCTCACCTGAAAGCAGGAAAAGCAAAGAGAAGCGCATGGCTCGGCGATTAAGACAAAGCAAGGCATGCATGCCACCCCAACCCGATTATGGCCAGCCTCCTTCAGAGTGACGCGGCATGCCTTCATGCATTCGTTGTGGTAGAGGATTTTGTTCACCTGGCTGGCAGACCATGATCTGCACTGCACGTGGCCAGGTTTGTCAGGCAGCCACCGGAACAAACGAGGATATGTGTCCACGGCAGCTTGGATGACTTTGCGCACCTGGCAATCACGGCAGTCCTAACCGACGCAAATGGGATGAGATCTCAGACTGGGAAAAGGCAAAATCTGCACTGGCCTCCACCAAAGACGGTCGAACACGCGATGTTCTGCTCTGTTCTCCTGGGGTCTTGGCGGGCGTGACGATCTTGTTGGACATTTTGTCCACCAGCTTGTTTAGTTCGATCTCCGCGGATCCATGGAGCAAGACTTTGCGGAGGAGGACCCGGTCAAAGAAGAGCTGTGTCACCTGGCCACTCTTCTTGGTTTGTGGAAAAAGCATTGCACCGCCAGGCCCCAAGCCATTCGTTTTGAGATGGTCTTCACTGAGCACATCCTTGAACGTTAGAGGCGTCACCGTCAGAGCTTCTGTGTCCTCCAGAACATCTCCACCATCAGGCGCGTACGATGCCTCGTGATCTTCTTGCTCAGCCTCTTGGATTGTTGCTGGGAGCTCTGCGGCAAGAGGAAATGGCTGGGTGCCCAAAGGAGGAGCAAAGTCTCCACGTCCAAGCTGCCCGGCCCCCATTGCGACAGCATTGTGCAGATGCGTGGCTTCCTGGCTGGTCAGCAGGGTCAGCAGAACAGGCAGTACAGTGCGAAGATGCGCTATATATACATGGAATTCAAACAATATATACCGTATATGATCTCCAGGCACCCTCTCCTCAGGCAGCGAGAGGTCACCCTGGCTTCGCCAAGCTTGCCGAATGTTGAGATTGATCTCCAGCAAACGGCAAGCAAGGCGCACGTGCATCTCTGTCACTTGCAGGTCCACGACAGGGCTGTTGCTGGAGCACATATCAAGCACTGCCACAAGAGCCGCGAAGACACCCTGCTGCCAAGCGGCGTTTGCGTGGAGTGCAGACAAAGCAGTGTCGTCCTCATGCCCAGAAGCCCTCACGCTTTGAGCAACTTGATTGCCTGAGAATACGGCCGCGCACTTGGCTGACACATTGCACTTGCAAAGACTGAAAACAAGAAAGTTATCTTGACATGACTAGGTTTGGCTCGCCTAGGAGAAGTCTCTGCGCACCAGCAGTCATGGGCAGGATCAGCTGCGGCTTGCGCCCAAAGAAATCGATCGCCCGCTGCAAGCCTTGCTGGAAAGCAGGTATATGATTTGGCTGGCACCAGCGGGCCGAAATCCTCCATTCAGTGGTGACGCCGTGCTCGGAGCACGGGAAACGAACCCGACTCAGGACACCGTCTGGCAGCTTCAGCGGGTATCCCTCAGGAGCACCAATGTATCCATTGCAAGGCGCTTGGTCTTCTGGAAGCGAGAAGGCAGCTGGCCGGTTGAGATACGCTTCCCAATCAAAGATTACTGCCTGCTGTGGCGTGAGCGGTAGCCACGTCCATGCTGAGTCGCCGGAGATGTAATCAGCAGGCAGCCTTGTGGCAGGAGACAGGCAAACAGCGCAAGTCAAAGCAAGGTGAAACGTAGTGCATGTGTGCTGTCCAAGGCAGTAGCGTTGCAGCCAAGACACTCTGCGTGGCGCGGCGTGGAACGATCGCAGCAAAAGATGAACCGCTCTTTGCAAGCAGCAACATGGTTCCCTTGCAGCTGGCGCTCCATGCTGATTGCCTTACTGGGGTGGAGGTTGCCACAGACGCTGAGGTTGACTGGAGGTGGCCTGCTGGTGGTCGAAGAGGTGCCAGTGCGTGTGCCTCGCTTGTGAGAGCCAGCCTGTATCAAGCGATTCAAGCTTGATGCGTTCAGACTGGCGGTCTTCCCTCCCTCGCCTTTCTGGCTTGTTCCCATCATGCCAAGGCCCTCCAGGAACTCGTAGGCTTCATCCAAGCAGAAGCCGGAGCTGAGCCAGATGCGATGAGGAAGTCCGTTGCGCTCGTCTCCTGCAAGATGCAGAATGAATGCATTGAACCAGGTGAATGTGGAATACACGATACTTTGAATGTGACAGACGATTCCTGATACGTTTCATTGGCGTTTACACAAGCGTACAAACTATGTGTAGGAAACCTGCGATGCCTGTGTTCCAATCCACTTGCTGCCACTCGCTGGAGCATCGGTGGAAAAACTCCGTGAAGGTGAAGGACTGAAGCGAAAGCGTTTTCACAACAGGGGAGGCGCCCGGATAGTCCGCGACCATTTCCTTGGCTTTCTGGACAAGGTAGTCGTCACAGGAGTCAAATGCCTGGCCACAAAGAAACAAAGAGACAGACGGACGGACGGACAGGCACATAGTCCGATCGACCGACAGGCAGGCAGGCAGCAGACAGACAAAGAGACCGACTGACAAACAGACAGACAGACAGCCAGGCAGGGAGGCAGGCAGACAGGCAGAGAGGCGGCCAGTAGACGGAGAGAGGGAGAGAGATAAGATGTCATGAACGCCGCTTGGAACACAGAGTGTGGGCACGGGGAATGTAGCCAGAAACATGTACATGGCCCAGAGACAGATACAGCGGCTCATCTTATTGAAAAACTTTTTGTGTTTGCTGGTGTGACAAATGACTGCATCCCAACCTCCTCGACCAAGGCGGTCAACCGGCTCTTCCCTTTCTGGGCCGCAGCGACTTGCAGGACGATAGCCATCAAAGGTGTGGGTCGGCCTGGCCATAACTGGATCGTGGCCCCATTGCAAAGCGCGGGCAAAGCGCCAAGGATCATCATTGTGGTTGTGTAGAAGCCTTGCCCGCTGGCGATGGTGAGCGGCTCTAAAAATTTGAATATGTTCGCTGGCAAGTGCTCACTTGGGACCCACCCAGCATCCACAGCTGCTTGGGCTTGCTCCATCAAAGCCGCGACGCGGCTCTCGGTGAGCTCATCCGCAGCTATCCTGGGCATGATCTCGCCGAAGGACGGACACGAAGCAACGGGCCCGAGGTTGCGAGGAAACGAAATGATGTGGTGTGGTGGAAAAAAAGAAACCATGTGTGCACTGAAAATGATCAGCAACATGCATTGTGAACAATTCTCGGCATGTTGCTTCATTCTTATGGTTGCCTTTCTTGACTTGCAAAGACTGGCACGCTGCAGGCAGATGGCTACACAAGAAAAACATGGCGGACCTGCAGCTCGCAGCAGAACAATCGACGGCGAGAGCTGCTGACAAGGGAATTAATTCTCAGGGCCACACGCGGTCACAGTCGTACTTGGAAAGCCTTAAGCATTGACAGCACCGAGGGATTTCGCCGCCACGGGCAGAAAGACAGGTTGTAGCCGTCAGTGGGCTCGCAAGACATCCCTGCCCTGCAGATGCATGTGCCAACCAACACAGGTGATGCCCTGAGGTTCGCACCGTGAGCTGTGCAAGGCTATGGCCCATGAGGGCAAAAGCACATGATGTCAGGTGGGTTCAAGGCATGTGCGCCTCACACGAGATCTCATGACACAAACTGGACAAGAAATGTTTGCCGATAAAGACTCACACAGACATGTTTGCGGGGATGTTCCTGCTGCGCATCTTGGGTCCCGACGTAGCAAGACATTCCTGCCCTGCATCGCAGAAGAAAAGACCATCGTCGCTTGCTGCAGCAAGCGATTGCGCACCTCGAATGCAGGGGTGGGAAAAGCAGATGCGAAGGCGCAGTGGCTGTATGCAAGGGGGAGCGCAGCGGCTGACCTACAACAATCTTCGTTTGCGGGGATGTTGCTGCTGCGCATCTTGGGTCCCGACGTAGCAAGACATTCCTGCCCTGCATCATGACAGAAGAAAAGACAATCGTCGCTTGCTGCAGCAAGCGGTTGCGCACCTCGAACGCAGGGCTGGGAAAAGCAGATGCGAAGTCGCAATGACTGTATGCGAGGGGAAGCGTATAGTGGCTGACCTGGATACAACAATCTATGTTTGCGGGGATGGTCCTGCTGCGCATCTTGGGTCCCGTAGCAAGACATTCCTGCCCTGCATCACACGCAGAAGAAAAGACAATCTTTGCTCACCTCGAATGCAGGGGTGCGAAAAACAGATGCGGCTACTCAAGGCGCCAACAACTGATTGATTAAATTATGTAAGGCCAGCACTTTAGCGTGAAACAGAGGAGCTGCGCTGCCGCACTGCAGACCATCGCCTGCATGAGAGCCATGCTAGGAAGGAAAGGAGCCGGAAGAAATAATGACGGCTTCATACTGTTGTGCAAAGCAAGAAGAAGTTTATTATATGAATGCGTGCCACGGAAAAGTTCAAAATCGAGTCTCCTTTTTCCCGCAGGGGCTTCACAGAAGATAGGGCACGTCATGTCGATGCAGGAAGTGACTCTTCGGGTCGTTTGCGTTTGCGCTGTGCTCGGCGCTCTGCCTGTTGGCGACGGTCCTGGCAGATTTATGCTGCTTGGGTGGCAGGGGGAAAAAGGAGAATTTCTTGTCACGATCTTGTTGTAGTGCAGCTATAGCTGCTATGGCATCACATGTACACAATTGCAATGGTACGCAATGTTTGTTCACACGAAGCCATGCAAAAGAAAACGCAATTAAATGTTTCAAGCGTCCAACCTTGACGCTCGAGAGCACTTTCATATTGTGCACATCGACGAGCTCTGTGAGGACAAACTTGGCCATGAAGCAACCCATGTGATGGATAGTATGCTTCAAAGGTGAGAATGAGGCATTGACGACCTCAGCGATGGACGTTGGAAAGCCAGCCAGTTTTTCCTTGTTGGCTGGCAAATCAGGCATCAGGTGTGCCTTGCACCACTGACCTACGTGACCGGCAGAATGGAAAGCATCGACGATGAAGCTAAGCTTTGATGCCTTCTCCGCAAGGACTGATCCACTCTTTTGGGATGGAGCCATGAAATGCAAGTGGCAACTGTCATCATGCACAACTGTCTGTAGATCTGGAAACTGCTGCAGCACGTGCAGAAGGAAAGCGTAGCGCTGGCTCAAGCTCTCCGCGCCGATCAATTCCTCCAAGTGCACGACAAGGCCGCTGTGCGAAATTGCGAAGAGGAAGCCCGCAGTTCTTGCAGCGGCTACCACGTCCTTGTCACTTTCTTTGTGTGTGGCGCACGATGAGGCTTGCTTGGGGGAGACAGAGCTCCAAGAAGAAAGGAAAGTTTTGGGCCTCATAGGTTTAGCAGATATTTTTCTTTGGTTTCTGTGCGTTTGCGCACGATAGCGGCGCAGTCTGATTCGCTCATCTGCTTTCTTTGCGAAGTATTGCTGCAGGTTTGCTTCAGGTATGGTGCACGATGGCTGCCACCCGCGGAAGTCCTGCAACTTAATTTCCAAGAACTGGACATCGTCTGGGGCATGAAGGGCTCGCACAAGACGATGGGCCTCAATCTCTGCATACATGGGTTGGACCTGAGCATCTCGCGCCGCAGCATGTGCCTGACAGAGCGTGTCTTTGCCTGAAGGCCTGGCAGAGCAGCCCCGTATGAGGAATTTCCCGACTGCGTCACAAGGTACGACCTGGACTGGGACAAATTGGCAAAGAAAGATAAGAAATTACAAGGGCCAACAAGACAGGTTTAAAAAGTAGAGCAAAATTTCCGTTGAAAGAGAGTGTGGCCTCAGCGAAAGGCTGCCCACAGGTTCACCGATGCAACTTGGCGTTGCCATCCACAGCCACAGTGCACCGACGATCGCCGGACAGTAGCCACTGAGTGTCACGCCGGTGAAGCATCAAAGGGGCATAACAAATCCAAGACTTGCTGATGAGGGTTTCCACGGACAAGGACTTCAGATCCTTGGCAAGCTGCCGGTGCTTACCTGCATCCAGCTCCTGGCCTCTGCGCCAGAGAAGCTCTCTCACCCATGCATCGGAGAGCGTAGCCCTGCACCCATGAGGATAACAATGTCTGCAATTTGATCTATGCCATGCAAGAATGGAAGTAGAAACTGCTGCGAAAAGAAAAAAGAAAACTTGTCAATAAGAAGCTGAAGCACCCACGTAGTCCGGAGAGCACACCGTCAGCAAGTGTTGGAAGCAACGCTTCCGACTGGAAAGACGCGCGCTGCAAGTACATGCGGTACCTCCACCGTCTCAGCCATGTAGTGGTGATTCCGAAGAAGCGATGGCACATCCACACATCTGGATGCTGGAAGGCGATGTCCACCTGCTGCTTAGTTTTCACCCGTGCCTTTGTGCGCTTTGTGTCTGCTTCTTTCGTCTGCATGTAACCACACCAAAATCGAGGCCACTTGCAGGTAGAACAGAACTTAGGAGCATGATATACTTGAATGGAGCCGCTGTCAGAAAGAATGCTGCAATTGTTGACTTGCAGGGATGACCGCCTCTGGGTGCGCAATGTCAACCCTGCGTGACAATGAGGACAAGATGTGCGCAGGGAAGTGAGGATCTTTGGGTGCGGGCGCGCCCCACGGATATGCAGTTGCGCCTGAAATTCTTGCAGCCAGCGTGGATCAGGCACGGGCGCTTGCAAAGTTGCAGCTGCTGTAGCTTCTCGGATGCCGTCGTAGGCCAATAGCATATGCGCAGCCGGACAGCTTATTTGGGGCGAGCAGCAAGTATGTGAAAAAAGTGGCCAGCAAGTTTTGCAATGACATGTTGAACATGTGTTTGAATGATGGCTGGCATATATAGATATAGATATAATTCCGTCGCGATGGAAGAAAATCGTAGAAGCGAATTGGGTGAAGTATGGTATGAGGTTTATGTAGCATGCTGCTGAGAAGGTGTCAAGAAACAAAAGTCAATGCCTTGAGATGAGAGGCGCAAGGAAAGAAATGGTGATGTTGCAAGTTTGAAATCGCTGGGTGACGTGCTTAACATATCTTAATTTCTGCAAGAGCATGCTGTGACAGCAGCATTGACAATTCAATCAAGACATTCAATGCCACGCGAACAAGAGTATAAGAGCCATCAGAGTAGCATGCGCACACAGGCAAGATAGGTTTGCGTCTGCGCATAACTAACCCTGTGTTTATGCTGTGTGAACTGCAGGCAAGCGCGGAATCAACTTGAGGCTGCGGCGAGAAGATGAATCCAGGAGATCACCGTGCCTAAGGGAGAAACTGCCAAGACCGGCAATATGTCATATCCATGCGCGTACGGCTTGTATGCACCTTGTTTAGACCTAGACAAGCCCCTGTTATGATGACTCGACTTTGTTTTCCTGGAAAAAGCCATGGCAAGCATGCATTAGACTGTGGTCCCAAGAAATGTTGCAATCGAAAGCAATTTAATCCCCCTCTTCTCCAACTTCACGTACAGTAAATTTCATACATTAAGAAAAGCAAAGGCTGTCTGAACTTCAGATAAGGCTTGGGTGGTGAAACGTGAAATTTCAACATTGCACTCAGGACGTAGCCATTTGCCGCTTATTGTAAGCACTGAGACGCCTGAAGCGAGACAGAGTCAGAAGCCACATCAACATTGCGAAGATCAAGGTCTGCGAACAGACCTGCGCGCAAGACATTCCTGCCTCTGTACGCGCTAGAAAGCAGATGTAGGGATTAGCTGCCCTTGATCGCAGAGGTAGAAGGAAGCCTGAAGCAGGGCGGGAACAGAAGCCATAGAAACATTAGAAGCGATATGGTAGCAAGACATCAACAGAGCTGCGCGCCAGACATTTCTGCCCTGCTTTGCGCGCACGGCAAAAGTGGCACGGAAAGCTGATGGATAAGGGCCAGACGAGTTAATTGCCCCTGATCGCAGAGGCAGAGCGAAGCCTGAAGCAGCGCGGAAAAAAAGGCAGAGAAACATTGCGAAGAGCGAGGTTTGCGGAGACACGTTAACAACACATGAGCAGAGCTGCGCGCCAGACATTCCTGCCCTGCGTATGCGTGCGACAAAAGCAGCACTGCGAGCTGATATATAAGGGCTGCACCAGTTGCCCGCAATTGCAAACAACATCTATAACAGCGCTGCACGCAAGACATTC